GCATATCAGATATTTACATTACGATTCATAACAGTAGCAACATTACAGTTATGAAGTAGCAACAAAAATAATTTTATGGTTAGGTCACAACATGAGGAACTGTATTTAAAGGGCCAGAAGGTTGAGAACCACTGTCTTATAACTATCTAAACAACCAGATGGAAGAAGTCACGGCCACTTTTCAAGGGTTCCTATGCTTGCTCCTCCTTGTCCTTCATTCTAATGACTTAGTACCTCTGTACCCTGGTGTCCTCGTGTTCCGAATGTGCACCCTCGCTAGGACTTCCTGGGGAGCGGCTGCAGCGGTTTGTTGCAGGTTGTAGCAGTCGGTGGAGACCCTGTCTGCACAGTGATCCATGGACAGGGTGGGGGTGGGGACTGTTTCTGTTTCTTCACACACACCCTTTACTTCCTCAACAACTAGGCATTTGCTTCTCCCATGTGCCACGCACTGTGACAGACCCTGGGGACACGGCAGTGGCCAGTCCTGCTGTTCCAGCTGCTCCTGGCCCTGTTCCAGTGTAGCCTTCAAAGGCAGCTTCCATACCCCTGTGTCCTCTGCACCTAGCCTGGAAGTCTCATGCCATTTGGTGATTAATATGGGATATTATTTATCCTAGAAGCAAACATCACCACAGAGGTGTGAGGTAGAGTTTTACACGATGCATATACATGCATACACACATATGTGCAGGTTTCTCTCCTTCATGCCAGTCCAGTATAGGAGGTTCAGTCTGCTCTGAGGTCTCACGATCGACACAGTGTGAACGTGTGAGAGCTGAAGGTAGACCAGATGCCTGGGGGGACTGTGTAGAGCAGTTACTGCATTAAGGAGAAGATGGACCACGGGCAGCCTGAAATGCTGCTCAATTGCTAACATTTCTCTGATTCTAAGTCCAACCTCGGGAAGGTGCTCATTGTTAACGACTGAGGACTGGCCCTTGTCAGGAGGGGAGAGATGGGCTTCTCTCTGGACGATAGCTCTCGGTGGCGGGAGGGTGAGTGGGGGTAGCACCTGGATCTTTCCAGAGCCCGTTTTCTCTGAGCTCTTTCCGTTGCTGCTTCCTCCTGTCCCACGCTCGCCGTGTAGGAGCCGGAGCGGACTTTGTCATGCTCGGAGGCATGTTCTCGGGCCACACCGAGTGTGCTGGAGAGGTGATCGAGAGGGACGGGCAGAAGCTCAAGCTCTTCTACGGGATGAGCTCCGAAACAGCGATGAAGAAACACGCAGGAGGGGTGGCCGAGTACAGGTAAGGCTTCTCGCCGGTGAGGACTCACGTTTCTCCTGCTCCTTTCAGAAATGGGTGGAAGTAGGTCTCAAAGAATGTTGCTTCTCTTTATAGCAAAGCACCATGGGCAGGGGCAGGAAACCCATCTTGCTCTTTGTAAGTAGCCACGTTTTTCACCCAGCTAGTCTGCAGTGTTGGGGGCCCTCAAAAGGCAGTGATAGCAGAGCTGTTTGGGGATGGGTTGGGCATGGACTGGGGTGTGTGTGAGTCGGGAGGGCTCCTGCTCAGCCAGTCCCCGGGGTGACACTCCAGACTTCTAGAGGGGGCCGGGAGGTTACCGCCTCTTCCTTCTGGTAGAGCCTCTGCTGACCTCTCCCAGTGACCTCTGACCTCTGGCCCGGGATGAGTTCAGGCTGCGAGAATTGGGTGAAGAAGGGTTTCCATTGCGTATGAAACAGGTGTGGTTCTGGACCATCACGTGGAGGCCGGCTTTCTTGAAGAAAGCTGTGTTTCACCTACAGGGGCTCACACGGGCCCTCTAGCTCTGACAGTTGAAACAGGCAGCATTTTAGCCATGTCATTGCCCCTCATTGTAGAAGGGATGCTCACGTCTGCTTTTCTTTTTTTTTTAATCCATGATCCCCCAAAATAACCTGGCCTTTATTTCACTTCCATCTATGTTATTGTTTTACCTTTAAATTAGATTGATTGGGGCGACATTGGTTAAAATCACTTCCATGTTATTGTCTGCATGTGTGTTTATATGACAATATATCCATGACCTTGCTTTGCTCCAGAGAGGCTGCTGTTGCCCTTAGTGGGGTTGGCGCTGATGCCAGGGCACACGGAGGGGGCAGGACGAGGTCCTGTATCCTCAGGAGGAAGTCCTCTGTGGGAGGCCCATTGCCTTTCCCCAGGAAGCCTCAGCGCTGGGAGGAACCCAAGCCCTCAGTGGCCGACACCCTCCATGTCCTACCATTCCTGCCACACCTAACCGCTTATTGTAAGGACATGGGATTCAGATGCATCATATAAGCTTCAAACCAATCCAGAGGTAAAGCATCAGAACTCCCAGAGATTTGCAGTGGGCGTGCGGACAGGCAGGGGGCGGTGTGGGGCACCACCTCTCAAGCTCTTTCTTCAGTAGGGAACCGGGGACTTCAGTCCTCACTCTCCCCAGTCTTTCTCTTTTGGGGGGACCTCAATAAATAGAACATTATAGCATGGGGAAGGTGGGGTGGGAAAGAGGAGTAGGGGACTGACTGCATTTACACCTTCACCTGGCCACCTCCCATGGTCAGAACAAGGGTGCACTCCTTCCCCTGCAGCCTGAGGCAGCCGTCCCATGTGGTGACTGATGGAGGATGGGGGGACTGCTACTCGGTGCTAACCCGGACCTCTGGCCAAGCTCCCCACTTTCCCAGCAGCCATTGTCACATCCCAGGTGGGGCGGGCCTCCTGGGCACTGGGGTGTAAGGGGAGCCATGGGGGGCGGCAGCCGGCTGCTTTGCCTGGAATGCATCATTTGCCCTCTAGCTGTTGCATCTGTTTCGGGTCCTAAGAAAAGCAGACAGGGAAGGCCCGATGAGGCCCCAGCATGACAGAAGCCAAGGGGCCAAAAGAAAAATCATCCCCTGTCATTTCAGCAGGGCCCAGACACAACAGGAGATAAAATATTCAGGAGCAGCGAGACTCGTATCTGAAAGCGGATTCGAATCTTAGACAAGGAAGAGACACACGGAAGGAATCAGGACTTTGATTCAAAGGCAGCCTGAGTCCCGCAGGCTGTATCTGTTCTCCGTCTTCCTTCCTGTTCCTCCCTCCCTCCTTCCTTCTCTTTTCCTGGGTGTTTGCAGCCTCATCACCATTGTCTCCTCATGAGAATGGTTCTCCTATTTGACATTGTCTTTAATGAAGACCCGTTATTTATGCTGTGCTAGTTCCTTCCCAGTCATTAACCATTTATTTGGTTCTCACGCTGCCCATCCTTGGGAGAGAGATCAAAGTACCGTGTTTTACAGATGAGAAGACTTGAGCATCAGCAGTAAATGACTTGCAAAAGGTGCTGTCACCAGTTAGCAGAGAACCAGGATGAAAACCTGAGTGATTTCCAGGAAGCTCCCGGAAGGCCCGGGCCTCAGAAAATGAAATGGCAGGCATCGCAGCACGCGTGCACAGATGCTGGTCTCTGGTCACAGAGAGCAGTGACATGAGTCTGCTGCTTCACCATCTCAGTGCCCGAAGCCAGCCGCTAGGCCAGCCCTTGGTCTAGTGGATGGTCTACATAGACTTCACCCAAGGGTAGTCTTGCATGTGTAGATTTCAGTGTACAACAGTTATTCCCTTTTGAAATTCTAGGCAGTAAGATTCTAATCAAGAGGTAGTATTGTAACAGATGAAAAGAGATCAGCTAGAGGAAGTTCCAGCAACAATTTGGTTAATTGTTAAAATGTCCAGATTGCCTGGCCCTTAGGTGGGGGCTAGCGTTTTGCATAGATTTGGGATCTTATTTTTGCCCTGTGTCTCCTAAAGCAGGTCTGGACCGAGTCCCCATTTGGCAGGAAGGGGACCTGACGTGTGGAGTCAGTGTTACTTGGAGGCTTTGTGGAGAGAGGCTGACTCAGCAAAGACAGATACTGCTCAGGGCTTGCACTGTGTACTAGACCTGAGTTTCTTTTTTTTTTTTAAATATATTTTATTGATTTTTTACAGAGAGGAAGGGAGAGGGATAGAGAGCTAGAAACATGGATGAGAGAGAAACATCAATCAGCTGCCTCCTGCACACCCCCTATTGGGGATATGCCTGCAACCAAGGTACATGCCCTTGACTGGAATCGAACCTGGGATCCTTCAGTCCGCAGACCGAGGCTCTATCCACTGAGCCAAACCAGTCAGGACTAGACCTGAGTTTCTGAATGCGCCTCTGAAAGCAGGAACGATGCTAACCAAAGCCCTCACGTCTCGGTGTTAAAAAAGTCCCAAGTTCTACGCTGGTTCCACCTTGCTGGGACCTTACCCCACACCCAGCATGACAGGTGTATGACTTGCGTGAGTGCAGGCGTGAGCTGGGGGAATGTGCCCGACAAGGTGCCCTGCCCCCTGGAAAGGCAGGCCTTGGAGGGGAGCTGCTGCATATCTTGCTGGTGGAGGTGCCTATAACCTGGTGGGTTAGGGGTGTTCATTTCATTGGCAGCCTCCTCCTCCTCCTTCTCCTCCTCCTCCTCCTCCTCCTCCACCTGCTCCAGGACAACTCCTCCAACCCGTCCTCCACCTCGGGTAATTTAGTCCTTGGTTGAGTCGTGTAGTCTGACTTGGGATTCATGAGGGTGAAGCTTCAGGGTTATTCAGGAGTTGATCAGGTGGGATAAAAAAAAAGAGGGGGTTGCAAAGGTTGCCTTGAATGACAACCCTCATGGCTGGAACTAAGTTATCAAGCGGCTGGTAGCTTGTTCACTGGGAGACTAGGTGTCATAATCAGGAGGGGACTAAGGGGGAAGAGGTTTTTAG